CCCCTTTTCCAAATTTTAATATCGACTCAAAATAATTTAAAAAGACAAATTACAATAAAACGGTTTATTATCCAACTATCAAAAATTTCACAACATGCCAAGGAAGAGAGGAAGGAGAAATTAAATAATCAAAATTATAAAGGATTTAAAAATATATATAAAAATGAGGAATATTGCACTTCTAACAATCTATGTGAGTATGTGGGCTAAATTTAAAGAATCCGTGTTTCTCACATGTACAATACAACTGTGTGTGGCCTGTTCATGCGTCGGAAAACCTTCTGATTTATTCGTGTATGCATCAGACAGAAAAACAAAAAATATCGTGTATCCACAAGCACTCCACTAAATAAATAGAATTGAAACGACACTTTGAAATATTCTCCCGATGAAAATGAATAATAATAATAAGTTTCAATAAAAATGATAAAATGTAAATTGAATTTTATCATAACGAGTTTGCTTAAATTTCTTTTCTTCTGAGATCGCAGCAATGTGCGACGGGTAAGCTAGTATAATATAAGGGTTAGAAGTACAAAATAATCTAATAATCTTAATGTTTGTACCTTATTTTGACCAGGCAATGCCAGGCTTACCTGCTAGTTTTATATAAATGACAATTGTTACATATGAAATTTTTAATTTAAAACATTTTCACATAAATTTATAAAAATAAAGTGTCAATTTATAAAAATATGTGAGACAAAAGCATTTTAAAAGCATAAAGAATTTACAGAAATTTTTACAATACATTTTCACATGCAATAAAACCATGCTTAAATATTTAAAAAATAAATAGTCATAAATTGCAATTCTGAAAAAATATAATGAAACTAACATTTTGAAAATATAAGTTATGAACAAATATAAGCATCTCAATACTGTTTCAAAGTAATAAAATAACCAAATATCTTACTCAGCTCCTTAAATAACAAATTATCGAGCACCTAATGCTGAGAAAAACAGTTTATTGAAGAAACATTAACTTTTCGACCTAATATGAAGCATCTGAAGATGGCCTATCATAGGTTGAAAACATTAATGTTTCTTCAATAAACGATTTTTCTCAGCATCAGGTGTTTGATAATTTGTAATAAAATAATATTGTTTTAGCACTGTTAAATTAAAAATAAATTGTTATAAATTAGTTTCAACTATTTTGAGTCATTTCATGACTCTTTAATTTACATATGATTTCAAAACATGATCATTTAATGTTAACTGAAGAAAAAGTAATTCAAGCTGTCTCTTAATAAAAGCCATCTACTAAATATTTCTGATGACTACTAATCAAGTCTAATCCTTTCAAAAATAATGTGCATCATTAAATCATTCAAAAGTAATCATTATTATATCTAAAGAATTATCTTCATTAAATTCAAATATTAATTTGAAAATATGAAATTAATTTTCAAAATTTCATTTTACTTTATTTTGATAATACTGTACTAATTTAATTAGTCTAAAAATAAAAGTTATTTTTGTACTTTATATAATTTACATTTATCTAAAATTCAAAACTCGTGCATAGTTACATCAAAATATTTTCATATTAATATTGAATATATTTCATTTTAATTGTTATTTAGATTTAATAAAATTGTAAAAAAATGTATTTAAAAATATATTAAATAATTATTTTATAAATCTCACCTGCTTGATCTCTAAATATTCTAGAAATTAAAATAGGTAATTTATTTTCTGCCCCTCCCTAAAAATGAAGATATTCCTTGAAATAATTACATTGCAAAATTATATTTATTGTATTACATATTTTTCTTTTTCAACTGTAACTGTTCCTACCTTAATACTCAGTCCTAATCCGCCTATTTTTTGACGAATTACTTTAACAATACGTTCCTGAAAATTAAAAATATATCCATTTATGATTCTGAAATTTTGACTCAACAAAAAACTTAAAGATAAATATTTAAATATCAATAAGAACTTTTAAATTTTATAATAGTGAAGAAATATTTTAAACATTACAATACATTTAAAATATGTAAACAAAAAATATTACATTACAATAAATACATCTTAATTGGAAATGTTATACTGAGGGAAGAGAAACACAAAGTCCTAGTTCACAAGAATGTCCAAAGTGGACATAAGCATAACATATTTTAAACAATCTAAAATATTAATTCTTTTTACCTCTATGTCCTTAAACACTGTTTTACATTTCTGTTTATATACTGTTAATGTTTCTTCAACTCCAAACTTCAACCCTCAAAAAATACCTCATTTATTAATTAATCAAATTTATTATACTGATGTAGTTTCTGATTAGCATATAAAGGAGATCTTAGTGAAAAGTCAAAACAAAATATCTTTATTTTTATCTGATCAGAAACTACACCAGTATAATAAGTCCTACTAATAAATGAAGTCCAAGTAGACAGTATATAAACAAAAATGTAATCTAAAAGATTCATTATTTTTATATAATATATATAATTATACATAGCAGGAATTTTAGTTTGTAAATTTGATTTGAGTGTGTGTATGTATTTCTATGATAAAAATTAAATTGGGAACTAAACTTGCTAATAAATTTTTTTTTATATGCTTTCTACTGTAAACATCTAGAAAACACAAATGCCAATTGTTTAATCCTAAATGTGCTTTGTTTTATGAAAATGCAAAATTGTACAGTTATTGGCCACACACAAAAACAAACTATGCTGGATTTAGCTTTGAAGGAGCCCCGAGCAAATTAAATTTTTCAGACCCCTTGCAACTAAAAATGGAGGAGGAAGTCAGAAGAATGGCAGAAATTGAAAGAAGAATTAAACTCATTTATCATTAATATACAGTTTATTACATAGTTTATCATGTATATTACAACTTCCAAATCTTCTCATCTGCAAACTGTTCAATCACATCATCATAAGACAATTTCTGCAATTTATCATTCTCAATAACAATGCTTAAGCTGACAGTTTCTCTGGCTTTAATGTTGTATATAAATACTTTTTACATGCTTCAGTGTGCTAAAGGACCTTTCATCTGAACAGTTTGTAATTGCTAACATTAAAAATAGTTGCATGATGCTTTCCAACAAAAATTACATTGTTTTTATAAGCTCAAAAAAGTTTAATAATAATAAAAGACTTGAAACCTCTTCTCAACGTAAGACCCTAAGCAGCTGCCTATTTTGCTTCCTGGTAAATCTGCCACTGAACAGTAAAACGTGTAGGATTTCATGCTACCTACTGACAGGAGAAACTATTATTAATATTGCCATGCAATATTTTCAAAACTCTTATTAAAGACGTTTAAATTCAAAATAACCAATAACTGTACTATTTGCCCTATCAGATGTATTTTTGTATATAACATTTTTGTGTATGTGTGTAAGCTCAATAAAATAAATTGTATAAAACAATAAATTCAAAAACACTAATCATTAAAATTTAATAATTAAAAATATAAGAGAGACTACTAGAGATTTTGTAGTCTTCCTTTATTACATTTTAAATAAAAGATTTTGTAGTTTTCTTAATAAAAAGTCTTTTATGTAAATTGATCAATATAGTGGTAAAATTTTTATAATAATACTTAGGCAGCATTACTATATAATTTAAAATTTTGAATCAATTTTATTTCTTCATATTTAACAATTACTACTAAAATTATAGAAAATTTTTAAAAAATCTTTTAAAATTCAGCAAGAAAATTTTATATATAATAAATTTAATTTATAGAATGAATTTTAATTAATTGAAAGAAGTGTAACTTGAATATGGTTTAAAAAACCCAAAATTATTTATCATTATGTAAAATTTTGCTGGATTTTAAACAATAGATTCAAATACAAATTTTAAATTTAGTTTATAAATTATTTTAAAGTTTATATTTTATTACCATTATTACATATTTAATCCATTCATCTTACATTCATATATCTTGTTTCTTCTGCATTAAAGTTTATACATACATTACATACATACATACCACAAATACTTATATACACTTAAAGTAATATATTTACATCAGAATTCAAGAAATGTTTAAATAATATATAAATAGTAAGTAAAGTATAAACAGTAGATATGTTAAAAACATGTTAACAAACTTTAGTTGAATATAAACAAATATTTAAAAGTCTGTATCCAATAGCTGACATTTTGCAGTGACATTTAGATTTTTCTACTCCTTGATAACTTTAGTTATCCAAACATACTCAGAAAAATAAAATGTCAAACAGAAAAAAAAAGCTTGCTTCACATTTAAAATTTATTATTTAATTAATATTTTATTCTTTACATAATATTAATTATTACATTATTAATTATAAAACATTCCTACTCTAGAATCGCCTGGAGGTTCTTGATGACAAATAGTAATATTACTATTCACAATTTCTTCTTTCTGTAGCAATAACATATTTTCACATAACTGAAGTCGCATTGGTTGAGGACGACTTTTCCCATCACTGACCATAACCATTCCAACTTTTACCTGAAAATATTTTTATTTACTAAATCATTAAACAAAATCTTAAAGATTTAATTCTCAATAGAAAAAAAAAAGTTTAACAGTGAAAAAGATAATTTCTATATTTCACTCAAACTTTATTTAAACTACATACCATGAATACAATCTTCCAGTAAATAATATATATTTGAATTAAATACAAAATAGAACATCTTCAGTCTCTTTTAGTGGCCTGCATCAAGTGTCAAACTTTACAGAATGTTAGAGATTCTATTTTTGGAATGTTTTTTAAAATTGTTTTCTTTTTTATATCAATTCATTTTTGAATATTTAACATGTATGTGTTACATTTTACATATATTCTACAAATTATTATAATGACAAGAAGATACAGGTGCATAGTACAAAAATACATGCATATAGTTTGACGCTTGATGCAGGCCCCAAAAAGAGGCCAAAAACTTTGTATTTTGTATGTAGTGTTTAATTTATCTACGTACCAGCTAGTACAGACTTTTAACTTTATTATAGTAGAATCTGCTTATCATAATCATGTATATTGTTATTAATCATTTATCATAATCAGAATTACCAAATTCAAAACATTTAAGTTAAAATATACAAAATTTCACATATTACAATCAACTGTAATTCATTTATTGTCATTAACTTCAGATATATATGCATTTTCACCTATATTTTTGTACCTTTAACCTCAACATATGACTGATAATGATTGCACATTATCAGTTATAAATATTAACCAGTGTTTTTAAACATTATTTTTTTTATCTTTATTTGTTCTTAGTACAGTAGTATAAATTGCTGGCATTTCTTACTCAATTATAAGCTAGATGAATTAATAATAATAATAATAATTACAGTTAATAAATCTAAGTTTTACATTTTTTAATTTTTTAACCTGTAAAAGTCAATAAAATCACAATTTCTAGTAATTATAGCCTTATTTATTTACTCTGCCTAATGTTATAAGCAGTTGTTATTAGTATAGGTAAATCCAAAGTTACATTAAGCATATTCTACTGTATTAAAAATTAATTAAAGCTTTAATTATGAAATAAAGAATGCAAAAATTAAAATATTTTTTAAAATTTATACAGGATGGGGCATAATGGAATCACACATTTATGAGGTGAATTATAGATTTTTTTTGGTTAAGTTTTAAAAATGACATTGTCCCGCTAGATGGTGTGAACAAGTAAGTTTTCAGTAGTCAACATGCAATGGACAAATAAACAACGGGGCTTCATCGTGGAGGCTTTTTTCATAAACACAGAGTCTGTGCCTGCAACACAAGGGCATTTTTGCATGTGATTTTGTTTAAATGCAAAGGAAAGTGTTCCTGATCAGAAAACGATTTTGAAATGAGTCCAAAATTTAAGGGCAACAGGATCTGCAAATCCTAAAAAACCAGTTGGGTGTCCCAAATCCGTGAAGACACCTGCAGACATCGCCACACTCAGAGCGTTGGAGCAGTCTCCAACACTCCAAGGTTTTGGTTTCAACAGGATGGAGCCACAGCCCCTACGACCCATCATTCTCACGCCATTTTGACAGAGATATTCCCCGGTCAACTAATCTCTTTACGAGAAGCCATTGAATGGCCCTTCGCTTTCCTGATTTGAGCCCCTATGACTTTTTCTTATGGGGATATCTCAACCCTTGAACTCTACAAGTACTCAAGGAAGCCATTCATAAGGAAATTGCCAAAATTCCTCCAGATATGCTGGTGAGAGTTGAAAAAAACTTCAAGGAATGGCTCCAAATGTACATTGCCCATGAAGGCCAACATTTGGACATCACTTTTAAAACCAAACCAAAAAAACTCTTTTACATGTACTTTGATTAAATAAAAAGTTTTTTCCATATTATCATACCGTTTTTTTTAATTTACCTCATAAATGTGGGACTACATTATGCCCCACTTTCTACTTAATGAAACTTTAACAGATACATAATAGTAATAAATAAATGATGATAATTGTTTAAATAAAAAGTTTTAAATTAAATAAAATANAATGATAGGCAAGCAATTCTGTTAAAAGCACTGGCACTGAACGTTTCGCTTCGTGCAGTCTATTTTGCAACTTTTTTTTAAAATGATGTCAATCCCGAAAATCTCGGGATTAGGAAAACTTAATCCTGAAAATTTTGGGACTGAAAAGTTGTCGGGATCCCGATTTTCGAGATCCCGGGATCAAATCCTCTAGTCACCATGCATTGTTATCATATATATATGTATATTACATTTTCGAACTTGTATCTTCTACATATAGAAATCTGTAAATAAACTGTAAATATTATCAATTTGAGTGTGGAGGTGTGCTTTCCATCGAACCTGGATCACTACATCGAATCGTGATACACACGGAAACCAACTCAACGAGATGGAGTTGGGAAAGAACATCACTAAGATCTTCACTATAACCTTTGTAGTTATATAAATCAAAAACTATAATCTATATATATAAAAATGAATGTGTGTGTGTGTGTGTGTGTGTGTCTGTCCTTCATGCATTACCACACCGTTTATCCGATTGCCGTGAAACTTTGGGAAGTTGTTTAATATACTCCAGCGAAGGTTTACGGCATAGTACGATTGCCATAAAACTTCGGAAAGTTTTTTAATACACTCCCGCGAAGTACATTTATCCTACGATAGATGGCACGCGTTTACACGAGCATTCGAGCACTGTGTGTTCGATCGATTTCAAATTGTGAAGACCATTTCCCCCCTTCAAAAATATCTCTATATATGCATTTGTTATTTACGATATTTGTAATAATTTTTGTTTAATCACTTTATTTCAACTATTTTTTGCTAATTGTATTCGCTCAAACTTTGTTAAAACCTTAACCGTATCCCGAACAACAACCGAAGTTGTAGGAGAAAATTCGCCTATTTTACCGATCTAGGATCCCCTTTCCCAAATTTTAATATCGACTCATAATAATTTAAAAAGACAAATTACAATAAAACGGTTTATTATCCAACTATCAAAAATTTCACAACATGCCAAGGAAGAGAGGAAGGAGAAATTAAATAATCAAAATTATAAAGGATTTAAAAATATATATAAAAATGAGGAATATTGCACTTCTAACAATCTATGTGAGTATGTGGGCTAAATTTAAAGAATCCGTGTTTCTCACATGTACAATACAACTGTGTGTGGCCTGTTCATGCGTCGGAAAACCTTCTGATTTATTCGTGTATGCATCAGACAGAAAAACAAAAAATATCGTGTATCCACAAGCACTCCACTAAATAAATAGAATTGAAACGACACTTTGAAATATTCTCCCGATGAAAATGAATAATAATAATAAGTTTCAATAAAAATGATAAAATGTAAATTGAATTTTATCATAACGAGTTTGCTTAAATTTCTTTTCTTCTGAGATCGCAGCAATGTGCGACGGGTAAGCTAGTATAATATAAGGGTTAGAAGTACAAAATAATCTAATAATCTTAATGTTTGTACCTTATTTTGACCAGGCAATGCCAGGCTTACCTGCTAGTTTTATATAAATGACAATTGTTACATATGAAATTTTTAATTTAAAACATTTTCACATAAATTTATAAAAATAAAGTGTCAATTTATAAAAATATGTGAGACAAAAGCATTTTAAAAGCATAAAGAATTTACAGAAATTTTTACAATACATTTTCACATGCAATAAAACCATGCTTAAATATTTAAAAAATAAATAGTCATAAATTGCAATTCTGAAAAAATATAATGAAACTAACATTTTGAAAATATAAGTTATGAACAAATATAAGCATCTCAATACTGTTTCAAAGTAATAAAATAACCAAATATCTTACTCAGCTCCTTAAATAACAAATTATCGAGCACCTAATGCTGAGAAAAACAGTTTATTGAAGAAACATTAACTTTTCGACCTAATATGAAGCATCTGAAGATGGCCTATCATAGGTTGAAAACATTAATGTTTCTTCAATAAACGATTTTTCTCAGCATCAGGTGTTTGATAATTTGTAATAAAATAATATTGTTTTAGCACTGTTAAATTAAAAATAAATTGTTATAAATTAGTTTCAACTATTTTGAGTCATTTCATGACTCTTTAATTTACATATGATTTCAAAACATGATCATTTAATGTTAACTGAAGAAAAAGTAATTCAAGCTGTCTCTTAATAAAAGCCATCTACTAAATATTTCTGATGACTACTAATCAAGTCTAATCCTTTCAAAAATAATGTGCATCATTAAATCATTCAAAAGTAATCATTATTATATCTAAAGAATTATCTTCATTAAATTCAAATATTAATTTGAAAATATGAAATTAATTTTCAAAATTTCATTTTACTTTATTTTGATAATACTGTACTAATTTAATTAGTCTAAAAATAAAAGTTATTTTTGTACTTTATATAATTTACATTTATCTAAAATTCAAAACTCGTGCATAGTTACATCAAAATATTTTCATATTAATATTGAATATATTTCATTTTAATTGTTATTTAGATTTAATAAAATTGTAAAAAAATGTATTTAAAAATATATTAAATAATTATTTTATAAATCTCACCTGCTTGATCTCTAAATATTCTAGAAATTAAAATAGGTAATTTATTTTCTGCCCCTCCCTAAAAATGAAGATATTCCTTGAAATAATTACATTGCAAAATTATATTTATTGTATTACATATTTTTCTTTTTCAACTGTAACTGTTCCTACCTTAATACTCAGTCCTAATCCGCCTATTTTTTGACGAATTACTTTAACAATACGTTCCTGAAAATTAAAAATATATCCATTTATGATTCTGAAATTTTGACTCAACAAAAAACTTAAAGATAAATATTTAAATATCAATAAGAACTTTTAAATTTTATAATAGTGAAGAAATATTTTAAACATTACAATACATTTAAAATATGTAAACAAAAAATATTACATTACAATAAATACATCTTAATTGGAAATGTTATACTGAGGGAAGAGAAACACAAAGTCCTAGTTCACAAGAATGTCCAAAGTGGACATAAGCATAACATATTTTAAACAATCTAAAATATTAATTCTTTTTACCTCTATGTCCTTAAACACTGTTTTACATTTCTGTTTATATACTGTTAATGTTTCTTCAACTCCAAACTTCAACCCTCAAAAAATACCTCATTTATTAATTAATCAAATTTATTATACTGATGTAGTTTCTGATTAGCATATAAAGGAGATCTTAGTGAAAAGTCAAAACAAAATATCTTTATTTTTATCTGATCAGAAACTACACCAGTATAATAAGTCCTACTAATAAATGAAGTCCAAGTAGACAGTATATAAACAAAAATGTAATCTAAAAGATTCATTATTTTTATATAATATATATAATTATACATAGCAGGAATTTTAGTTTGTAAATTTGATTTGAGTGTGTGTATGTATTTCTATGATAAAAATTAAATTGGGAACTAAACTTGCTAATAAATTTTTTTTTATATGCTTTCTACTGTAAACATCTAGAAAACACAAATGCCAATTGTTTAATCCTAAATGTGCTTTGTTTTATGAAAATGCAAAATTGTACAGTTATTGGCCACACACAAAAACAAACTATGCTGGATTTAGCTTTGAAGGAGCCCCGAGCAAATTAAATTTTTCAGACCCCTTGCAACTAAAAATGGAGGAGGAAGTCAGAAGAATGGCAGAAATTGAAAGAAGAATTAAACTCATTTATCATTAATATACAGTTTATTACATAGTTTATCATGTATATTACAACTTCCAAATCTTCTCATCTGCAAACTGTTCAATCACATCATCATAAGACAATTTCTGCAATTTATCATTCTCAATAACAATGCTTAAGCTGACAGTTTCTCTGGCTTTAATGTTGTATATAAATACTTTTTACATGCTTCAGTGTGCTAAAGGACCTTTCATCTGAACAGTTTGTAATTGCTAACATTAAAAATAGTTGCATGATGCTTTCCAACAAAAATTACATTGTTTTTATAAGCTCAAAAAAGTTTAATAATAATAAAAGACTTGAAACCTCTTCTCAACGTAAGACCCTAAGCAGCTGCCTATTTTGCTTCCTGGTAAATCTGCCACTGAACAGTAAAACGTGTAGGATTTCATGCTACCTACTGACAGGAGAAACTATTATTAATATTGCCATGCAATATTTTCAAAACTCTTATTAAAGACGTTTAAATTCAAAATAACCAATAACTGTACTATTTGCCCTATCAGATGTATTTTTGTATATAACATTTTTGTGTATGTGTGTAAGCTCAATAAAATAAATTGTATAAAACAATAAATTCAAAAACACTAATCATTAAAATTTAATAATTAAAAATATAAGAGAGACTACTAGAGATTTTGTAGTCTTCCTTTATTACATTTTAAATAAAAGATTTTGTAGTTTTCTTAATAAAAAGTCTTTTATGTAAATTGATCAATATAGTGGTAAAATTTTTATAATAATACTTAGGCAGCATTACTATATAATTTAAAATTTTGAATCAATTTTATTTCTTCATATTTAACAATTACTACTAAAATTATAGAAAATTTTTAAAAAATCTTTTAAAATTCAGCAAGAAAATTTTATATATAATAAATTTAATTTATAGAATGAATTTTAATTAATTGAAAGAAGTGTAACTTGAATATGGTTTAAAAAACCCAAAATTATTTATCATTATGTAAAATTTTGCTGGATTTTAAACAATAGATTCAAATACAAATTTTAAATTTAGTTTATAAATTATTTTAAAGTTTATATTTTATTACCATTATTACATATTTAATCCATTCATCTTACATTCATATATCTTGTTTCTTCTGCATTAAAGTTTATACATACATTACATACATACATACCACAAATACTTATATACACTTAAAGTAATATATTTACATCAGAATTCAAGAAATGTTTAAATAATATATAAATAGTAAGTAAAGTATAAACAGTAGATATGTTAAAAACATGTTAACAAACTTTAGTTGAATATAAACAAATATTTAAAAGTCTGTATCCAATAGCTGACATTTTGCAGTGACATTTAGATTTTTCTACTCCTTGATAACTTTAGTTATCCAAACATACTCAGAAAAATAAAATGTCAAACAGAAAAAAAAAGCTTGCTTCACATTTAAAATTTATTATTTAATTAATATTTTATTCTTTACATAATATTAATTATTACATTATTAATTATAAAACATTCCTACTCTAGAATCGCCTGGAGGTTCTTGATGACAAATAGTAATATTACTATTCACAATTTCTTCTTTCTGTAGCAATAACATATTTTCACATAACTGAAGTCGCATTGGTTGAGGACGACTTTTCCCATCACTGACCATAACCATTCCAACTTTTACCTGAAAATATTTTTATTTACTAAATCATTAAACAAAATCTTAAAGATTTAATTCTCAATAGAAAAAAAAAAGTTTAACAGTGAAAAAGATAATTTCTATATTTCACTCAAACTTTATTTAAACTACATACCATGAATACAATCTTCCAGTAAATAATATATATTTGAATTAAATACAAAATAGAACATCTTCAGTCTCTTTTAGTGGCCTGCATCAAGTGTCAAACTTTACAGAATGTTAGAGATTCTATTTTTGGAATGTTTTTTAAAATTGTTTTCTTTTTTATATCAATTCATTTTTGAATATTTAACATGTATGTGTTACATTTTACATATATTCTACAAATTATTATAATGACAAGAAGATACAGGTGCATAGTACAAAAATACATGCATATAGTTTGACGCTTGATGCAGGCCCCAAAAAGAGGCCAAAAACTTTGTATTTTGTATGTAGTGTTTAATTTATCTACGTACCAGCTAGTACAGACTTTTAACTTTATTATAGTAGAATCTGCTTATCATAATCATGTATATTGTTATTAATCATTTATCATAATCAGAATTACCAAATTCAAAACATTTAAGTTAAAATATACAAAATTTCACATATTACAATCAACTGTAATTCATTTATTGTCATTAACTTCAGATATATATGCATTTTCACCTATATTTTTGTACCTTTAACCTCAACATATGACTGATAATGATTGCACATTATCAGTTATAAATATTAACCAGTGTTTTTAAACATTATTTTTTTTATCTTTATTTGTTCTTAGTACAGTAGTATAAATTGCTGGCATTTCTTACTCAATTATAAGCTAGATGAATTAATAATAATAATAATAATTACAGTTAATAAATCTAAGTTTTACATTTTTTAATTTTTTAACCTGTAAAAGTCAATAAAATCACAATTTCTAGTAATTATAGCCTTATTTATTTACTCTGCCTAATGTTATAAGCAGTTGTTATTAGTATAGGTAAATCCAAAGTTACATTAAGCATATTCTACTGTATTAAAAATTAATTAAAGCTTTAATTATGAAATAAAGAATGCAAAAATTAAAATATTTTTTAAAATTTATACAGGATGGGGCATAATGGAATCACACATTTATGAGGTGAATTATAGATTTTTTTTGGTTAAGTTTTAAAAATGACATTGTCCCGCTAGATGGTGTGAACAAGTAAGTTTTCAGTAGTCAACATGCAATGGACAAATAAACAACGGGGCTTCATCGTGGAGGCTTTTTTCATAAACACAGAGTCTGTGCCTGCAACACAAGGGCATTTTTGCATGTGATTTTGTTTAAATGCAAAGGAAAGTGTTCCTGATCAGAAAACGATTTTGAAATGAGTCCAAAATTTAAGGGCAACAGGATCTGCAAATCCTAAAAAACCAGTTGGGTGTCCCAAATCCGTGAAGACACCTGCAGACATCGCCACACTCAGAGCGTTGGAGCAGTCTCCAACACTCCAAGGTTTTGGTTTCAACAGGATGGAGCCACAGCCCCTACGACCCATCATTCTCACGCCATTTTGACAGAGATATTCCCCGGTCAACTAATCTCTTTACGAGAAGCCATTGAATGGCCCTTCGCTTTCCTGATTTGAGCCCCTATGACTTTTTCTTATGGGGATATCTCAACCCTTGAACTCTACAAGTACTCAAGGAAGCCATTCATAAGGAAATTGCCAAAATTCCTCCAGATATGCTGGTGAGAGTTGAAAAAAACTTCAAGGAATGGCTCCAAATGTACATTGCCCATGAAGGCCAACATTTGGACATCACTTTTAAAACCAAACCAAAAAAACTCTTTTACATGTACTTTGATTAAATAAAAAGTTTTTTCCATATTATCATACCGTTTTTTTTAATTTACCTCATAAATGTGGGACTACATTATGCCCCACTTTCTACTTAATGAAACTTTAACAGATACATAATAGTAATAAATAAATGATGATAATTGTTTAAATAAAAAGTTTTAAATTAAATAAAATATATTCCAATAAAAATGATAATAAAAAAGTTTGATATTTGAAATATTTGAAAATGTTTTTAAAATTAAAATTTTTTTTTTTTCAATCAAATATTTTTATTTGCATTAAGGCTAAGCCTTGTTACAGGGGGTATTTTTCCAATGATATATTAATATACATTTGTTATCTATCAATCGTTTGATATACATCTTCAAAAAATAAAAATAATTTTTAATGTTTGAAATTTCCAATAAAATGAAATTATAAACGACTATTTTGGATTTTTTTTAAAATTCTGTACATCATTTGGTTTGGTTTAATTCTTACTACATTTAATTTGAGGCATCATCTGATCATCTAACGCTAAGTTCTTTCAATTTTAAAGCAAATTTTAATAGAATTTGAAATATTCACTAAACAAATGCAATCTGCTAACATTCTAATTTCCAAATTTTAACAAAAAATATACATATTCTAATAAATAATTTGCAATCAATTGCAATATTCAACTTAAAAAACACAAAAAGGTTTAATGTTTTAATTTTCAAATTATTTTTCTCTTTGTTAATATATTAAGAATTGTTTTATTATATTAGAAATTTTAACACCAAAGCAATAATTTATAAATAATATTGTAAAGCATCTAAGTAAAAATAATATTAATTTGATTATAGATAAAATTTTATATGTTTTTTTTTTGTTACAAATCAAATATTTGTAGAGGAAAATCATTCATTTAAAAACAAAAGCAAATAAATGATTTTTTGATTCTACACATTAAACCTCCAAACTAATCAATTAATAAAATATCCATAAATAAGTATTCTGCATATAAAAACAAATTTGTCATGTACCTTTAATATACATCAAACTTTAAATCAAGGAATTACTTGCTTCTAATTGTCAAAACATTTCCAAATAGATTCTTGTCGTTGCTGATAACTTACAGTAAAACACTCTAATTAGAACAATTTATTTTTTCAAACATATTCATATTAAAATATATATATATTTAATTTTTATTAAATTTAATATATATAATATATATTAAATTCATTTCCTCTTCTCTTGCTTTCTTAATTTTAGGGTTTCTCACTCCCATTATACATCTTTAGACTCATTCTTTCTTACATAATCATCTTAAAATAACATATGATTTCATTCTTACAGGCCCAGTTTCCTATTTATTTCATATCCACTAAACTCTGTTTTTTAAGGCTGTGTCATCACCATAGCATTCCATACTTCCAGTAATCTGTCAACATTATTCTTGTTCATCAATTCATAATTTAAACTTGTCACAAGGCAAGAGAACAAACCCATCATGCTGACTCAAAGATATATCAAAAACTCAATAGATTATATTTGTATTTTCTTGGCTCTTGTACAGTAAAGGACAATGGAACAAGTATACATTTATGGGGTAAGGAAACCCTACAGTTAAGAAAGCAAGAAAAGAGAAAATAAACTTAATACTATTTTAAAGAACTGAAAATGTTCAAAAATAAATAAATTGTTCTAATTAAATGTTTCTTGTGGTTGCTGATGATGAGAAACTAAATCTTGGAAATGTTCCAACAATTTGGAAGCGAGTAGATCCTTTATTTACGATTTCATGTAATATCCAAAATGGTGGTATGTAACTAGGAAAAGTGTTGATACAAATAAAAATCACCTTCATAATCCTAGAAACATATTTATTAAAATTAAGAACATTTTTGATCAGTTTGACTGATCTTCAGTTGACAGTAACATCAAATAAAAAAAAAGTATGTTAATAAGTACAACCCAAAAGATTTTTATTTTTAACGTTATTTACTCCATACTTACATCCATATAAATAAGTCATGTTTTTAAAGTTGGAAAAAATAATTTTATATACTAATTTATTTTATTGTTGTTGTTATTATTAATATTACTTTTTAATTGAATANTTCTCCCGATGAAAATGAATAATAATAATAAGTTTCAATAAAAATGATAAAATGTAAATTGAATTTTATCATAACGAGTTTGCTTAAATTTCTTTTCTTCTGAGATCGCAGCAATGTGCGACGGGTAAGCTAGTATAATATAAGGGTTAGAAGTACAAAATAATCTAATAATCTTAATGTTTGTACCTTATTTTGACCAGGCAATGCCAGGCTTACCTGCTAGTTTTATATAAATGACAATTGTTACATATGAAATTTTTAATTTAAAACATTTTCACATAAATTTATAAAAATAAAGTGTCAATTTATAAAAATATGTGAGACAAAAGCATTTTAAAAGCATAAAGAATTTACAGAAATTTTTACAATACATTTTCACATGCAATAAAACCATGCTTAAATATTTAAAAAATAAATAGTCATAAATTGCAATTCTGAAAAAATATAATGAAACTAACATTTTGAAAATATAAGTTATGAACAAATATAAGCATCTCAATACTGTTTCAAAGTAATAAAATAACCAAATATCTTACTCAGCTCCTTAAATAACAAATTATCGAGCACCTAATGCTGAGAAAAACAGTTTATTGAAGAAACATTAACTTTTCGACCTAATATGAAGCATCTGAAGATGGCCTATCATAGGTTGAAAACATTAATGTTTCTTCAATAAACGATTTTTCTCAGCATCAGGTGTTTGATAATTTGTAATAAAATAATATTGTTTTAGCACTGTTAAATTAAAAATAAATTGTTATAAATTAGTTTCAACTATTTTGAGTCATTTCATGACTCTTTAATTTACATATGATTTCAAAACATGATCATTTAATGTTAACTGAAGAAAAAGTAATTCAAGCTGTCTCTTAATAAAAGCCATCTACTAAATATTTCTGATGACTACTAATCAAGTCTAATCCTTTCAAAAATAATGTGCATCATTAAATCATTCAAAAGTAATCATTATTATATCTAAAGAATTATCTTCATTAAATTCAAATATTAATTTGAAAATATGAAATTAATTTTCAAAATTTCATTTTACTTTATTTTGATAATACTGTACTAATTTAATTAGTCTAAAAATAAAAGTTATTTTTGTACTTTATATAATTTACATTTATCTAAAATTCAAAACTCGTGCATAGTTACATCAAAATATTTTCATATTAATATTGAATATATTTCATTTTAATTGTTATTTAGATTTAATAAAATTGTAAAAAAATGTATTTAAAAATATATTAAATAATTATTTTATAAATCTCACCTGCTTGATCTCTAAATATTCTAGAAATTAAAATAGGTAATTTATTTTCTGCCCCTCCCTAAAAATGAAGATATTCCTTGAAATAATTACATTGCAAAATTATATTTATTGTATTACATATTTTTCTTTTTCAACTGTAACTGTTCCTACCTTAATACTCAGTCCTAATCCGCCTATTTTTTGACGAATTACTTTAACAATACGTTCCTGAAAATTAAAAATATATCCATTTATGATTCTGAAATTTTGACTCAACAAAAAACTTAAAGATAAATATTTAAATATCAATAAGAACTTTTAAATTTTATAATAGTGAAGAAATATTTTAAACATTACAATACATTTAAAATATGTAAACAAAAAATATTACATTACAATAAATACATCTTAATTGGAAATGTTATACTGAGGGAAGAGAAACACAAAGTCCTAGTTCACAAGAATGTCCAAAGTGGACATAAGCATAACATATTTTAAACAATCTAAAATATTAATTCTTTTTACCTCTATGTCCTTAAACACTGNAATAAGACTACAAATTAGACTAACAAGAAATGACATTTTGACTAATTTATAAAAATTTTTAGACAAAATCAAAACTTTTTTACTTAAACAATTATGAACTATAATATCCTAAGAAAATTTATTTTAAAATTGAATTTATACTTTAATTTTTTGCTGTCAAACTAAAGATGCAAATTAGAAAAAAAAACTAATAAAAAATTTTATTTTTTACATACAATTATTAGATTTTTCTGTTTTATATTGAAAAAGTATAGATTATTATGCACTTCAACATATTACAATAAAAGTTAAGAACTGCTTAAAATTTATCAATATTTACATTCAAATGTATAACCATACTAAAAACTAAAGATTTATATCATAATATACAATAAACTTTTAATATATAAAATAATATATATTATTTTATACAGTATATTAAATTACATATATGTATAAGCTGTAAGAATACTAATTAATTAATATGTAAATATTAAAAGATATATTTACATACATTATAAATCAATTATAAAACAAATTTTAGGTATTTTGTATGTAACTTAAAAGTTTGTTTTTTATTTTAGTCTATTTAATTATTTAGTCAATATTTAATATGAAAACTTTATCTTAATTTAAGTGTTAATCTGCTAGCAACATTCATACTAATTTACTTAAATAAATATTCTATTTTATTAAATTTCTACTGTTAATAAGAATTCTTGACACATTCATTTTAATAATAAATTTTCAAAAATATATAATTAATTAAACTTACTGATACTGAAGTAAACTTTAATAACTTATTAATTACATGGATTGCAATTACATATTATCATTAATATATACTATGTTTCCTCAATTCTAATGTTCATCAAGTCAAAAGCACAACCAATTTTTGGTATGTCAAATCCAAAAAAGTTACCTTGCAAATATTATGTAATGGATACCTTATATTGAAAATGAAGCTGCAAATAACAAATGCATTTAAACAGTAATAAACACATCATTTGAAAAGCATTTTATTTTCATGTTTACAGTGCTTCACAATGTCCATATTTTTGAATGTATTCATTTATAGCTCTGTTATCACATATACCAATATAAAATCACAATCAAAATTACTGTATGATCAATGTTTTAACAGCGAGATTTCATTACACTGTGCATAAATATGAAATTTACCAGATAAATAGTATCAACTAAAATATCTATCTATAAACACATTCTTCAGCATAATAGATAACTCTCTGCTTAAAAACAGCTTTATACAAGATTTGTCTGCTGGACATGATTCACTCTGCTTGCTGTAGTTCTAAAGATCACCAAACTGTTCCAAAATCAAAGTAAAATTAAAACTAAAGTACTAGGAGGACTAACAGTATAAACATGAAGCAATATGTTCCATGTCTATACTGATTTCATAATACACACAAATTTCTGAGCGGAAGTGAAGAGAAAACAACACATATGAGGCTGTGTTAAGTTGATTTTGTGCCCGATTCTTATGTGCACACCAATTTTTGAGACCAGAAAAAGTTCAAAAAATAAAAACAAGTGTATTAGAATTGAGAAAACACAATATACATTGAAACAGTTTACTTATATATTTTTAAAAATTAATATGACAACAAAATATAAAAATTACAAAACATTTAGGAAGTATTGTATTTTAAAAAATATTAAACATTCAGAAAAATTTTCCCAGAATGTTTATTATTTTTAAAATACTTCCTAAATGTTTTGTAAGCCTTATATATCTTAATTCAATTTACATCTAATAAAATTTTTCCATTACTAAAAAAAAAATGGTTTATTAAGTTTTTCATTACTAAGATATTCTAATTTTAAAAACAAAATTATAGAAGTGATGAAATATTAAATGCTTCATTTCTTGTAAAATATTCCTTAATGTATTTTATGCAGCAAAATATCTAATAGTAAATGGACATAATTATTCAATTAGAAATTTATAGAAGTTCTAAATCATGAAATTGTATTTCTACATATTAATATTGCATTTTACATAAAATTGTATTGAAAATTGCAATAAAAATTTTAAAAAATGCTTAAGATTCTGTATTGTACTTCCTGTTTTAGAGTAATACTGTATGTTATAAATTGTTTATGTAATTTTTGCCTTGGATAATTCTGACATTTAATTGTTAAGATTTGTTATGAGGAAAAGTCTAAAATTTTCCATTCAAGCTTTATAGATATCTTATACAAGAAAATTTCAAATTTACTTTTCTTTTTATTGTATAATCTTTAAACTTAGTGTAAAATTTGTCATTCACTTGCATACATATAAATATTATGCAAAAGAATCAAATCTTAGATAATCAATTATAAGTAAAATTTATAATTCAGTATTTTTTTTTATTTGCTTATGTTTAAATAAAAAAATAACACAAGTTCATATACAAATTTTCAAATAATAAGAACAAATGCTTTTTTGTTTCTGTAAAACTTTCCTTTCTTTTTTAATCATGTGTATGTTAAAAAAAATTTTTTTTAAATAAAGTATTCAGGAAATAAACAAAATTCTTTGAATTTAAAATATAAACAATTTTTTTAAATGTTATGACAAACATCAAATTGAAAAAAAATAAAATAAAACATAAATCAAATTCTAACAAACATTTATAGTTTAAACTGAAAAAATTATTTAAATTTTTCTATATTTTTTAAATATAATATTTAAAAACTTTTCAATTAAAATAATTTTTACAATAATAATAAAAAACCATTTAAAATGCTACTGAAAGATATTTACCACCTGCTATTGCAGTTTCAATTAATTAAAATAAAGCAACTGATATTTCTCATATTTAGTTTGATAATCCTTGAACTTAGTTTGATCTTTATTTTTATTATGTAATTTGAATCCTTTAATGACTCTCATATTCATCAGTAAATTCAATTATCAGACAAGAAATTAGTGAATAATGTAATATAATAAATAAGTTAATTATTTTCTTTTATAAAATTACACATTAATTTCTACTTTTAAAAATTAAGCTTAAAATAAAACCTAATTTTAACTTAGAAGTTAATAACAATAAAAACCTTCAACTTTAATCAGAACTTTATCAATTGCCAACACTTTCTTTTAACAAAATGATAAATACATACAATGGCACAGAACTTAATAAGTTCTAATAATAAATAAAGTTAATTAAAATAAGAAAATTTTTATTGCAATAGTTGTGGCAATAATTAATTTTACTTTAATCTTTTTATTTGCTTTTAACCATTAAAATTAAATAAAATTAATTACTAAATAAAATAGTCATATAATTAGTTATTATTTATAAGATATAATTTGCTATAACAGGAACCACTTTATCAATATTTATTTTCAATATCTGTAAGAAAACAACTGAAAAAAAATTTTTTTAGAACATTAAGTAAATAAAAATCTAATCATAATAAAAATACACTTTCCTTGAGAAGGATGTAGTGATTCATAAATAATATTTAATAATTTATTTTCAGATGTAATTATTAATAAAATACTTTCTTGTATATCCACTAAAATTGAAATGAATATTTAAAGCATAGATCTACATTCTTCTAAGAATTTTTATTTAAATTGATTTACTATGCAATTTAAAATAAATGTGTATTTCTCTAACATTATATTCAATTTAATTCCTAAAACTACTGAAATGATGAAACCTGCATAAAATTTCCTTCATTATTATTAAACTAATTTATATTTATGATCATAATGTTTCTGCAAAGAATAATAAACACTATTGATTCAGATTAGTTAGTTTATAAACCTAATCTTTCTAATGCATTGTGTACTCCATTATAGTTATCTCATAATTTTATAATGAGCTATGGTGCCGCAAATATTCATTTTGTATATATAACATATACAATTTAGTTTTTCTTTCCCTAAGCTATAAAATACAATTTTTCAATTACTTTTGTTTTAAAAACAAAATAATAAATGTATTTCACCTTGAATTATGTTTTACCTTAACAATGAACAATGAATTCTGGCAAACAGTTTTATTAATCCTGAAATTTATAAAAATTCTTGCTTAGATAATTTTTAAAAATAAATCAGGAAGTTATCATTATAAATTTAATTATTATTATTTCAAAATATGAANTGTTTGATAATTTATTATAATTTTCACTGGATAAACCTTTAAAATGTCAGTTATTCGCGTATAACGCGCACTATTTTAAATCTTATTTTAATCAATTTAATATGTCTAAAATCATAATAAACTGTTCAAAATTTGTAAGTTTTAATCAATTAATTAAAATTTTTTAATAATTTATTATCATTTTTACAAGATAAACCTTTAAAATATCGAATTTTCACGTACAAAGTGCGTCATTTTCCCGTACAAACCTAGGAGCGACTAACAATAACTTTCCATTATAGCAACATAATTGTTATTGTTATTCTATACCTGCAATTATTAACTTCTATCTCCATGAGCATTATATTTAGAAGTGTTTTTTTTCCGAGCAAGATTCATTTACACGCTTGTTTGATAATTGTTCGGAGAACATGAAAAATGACAAATTATTTTTCTTACTTATAAACTAAATCGATAATTTCATCATAAAAAATTGCCATTCTCTTTTGTATACAGTAGAAACCTGTAATGAAGGCCACCTCGGAACAACGGTCATTTCAAGAACGTTTATTAAATGCAATCTACATAATAACCTCCGAACAACGAACATTTTTAAAATAGAAATGCACACAAATTAACCTCCAAAAACTGGCCATTTTAAGGAACTTTTTGGAGAAAAATTCATACAAAAACCTCCGAACGACGGCCATTTTTTAAACAGAAATGCGTACGTAATAACCTCCGAACAATGGCCATTTTTATGATAGAAATGCACACAAAATAATCTCTGGAAAATGGCATTTGAAGAGAATGTTTTTGAAAAAAATCCAAACAAGAACCTCCGAACGACGGCCATTTAAAGAACTTTTCCTTCGAACAAAAATGCATACAACGGCCATTTCAAGGACTTTTTTTTTTAAACAAAAATCCAAAATGAACCTCCGAACAACGGCCATTCTTCACGTTCTCGCCTATGTCCGTTGTTCACAGGTTTAAGAGTACTTCACATTATTATAGAACACATTATCATAAATTATTTCGATAAAAACAAATCTTTCCATTCTCTAAATATCAAGCATGTTTCACCATCAATTTTTATAAATGATTTAAACTATATTTACGTACAGTACAAAGAGAGAAAAGAGACATATGTAATATCACTGTAAAGGTCAAAAAATATCGGATTTTAAATACTTAAGCTCTAAAAAGAAGCAAATATTTTTCTGAAACATCGATCGAATTCTTTTTACTAGACTTAAATAGCAATTGTAATATTACAAAAATTCTCAAAAATTCCCTTCCTGGAGTGAATTTTACGTAATTCGTGCCACTTAAATGGCAATTAAATTAATTTATAACTTAATTAACGCTTAAAATTCTCATAAAACTGAATTAATTTTAATTTAAAATCGAACTTACCTTATTAAAATTACTTAATTCGGCCATTTCGTTCCAGAAATTGATCATGATTACCTTATTTTTCTCGTGAATTTTCGGATCGTATGAGCCTTTCCCTCCTAAAACTGTGTATCGCTGCGGGTATTTTATTCAATTTTTTTAAAAAATACGATAAAAATTTATTTAAAATAATCTAAAATAATTAAATGTAACACTTAAACTCACCAAAGCCAAGCATTCGAAGTCGTACAGGTCCAAGTAACCATTATTATCTATGTCTTAAAGATAAAAAGATTAGCGCAATTAATATGTTAATTATCTTCGTAATTATATTATAAATTTAATCACGATTAACGGGGCATAAAACTAGGCATTAATATCGATTAATTTACTTGATAAATATTGAAAAATTTAGAGTTTAAAGGCGTTATATATGATGACAAAGATGGCACTAAGTTAGAAAGATGGTGACTTGAGGTTAGCATGTTGTCTATTTTATTTATTTAAACGCAACTGGTCAGATTTAGGCTCCTCCAAAACAGATAAATCATCATTAAAAAGGTTTATGAGGTTGCTCGTAACATAATTCTAAACATAAAGATACATTTTGCCCCTCTCAAGTTTAGTATAGATTACACTGTTTTGTATATGGCCTCATGAAAGATGCAGCGATGCAAACATTCCCGCATCATTATTTTAAAGAAAATGGATTTTTTTGTATGTAAATTGGAAATTTTGAGTTCTGAAACTTTTTTTGCTATTTAAGAGTTAATAAATTAACATTTTTGATTCGTTTTCCTTTGCTCTGCATCCTCTTTCCTCATAAGAGGATGCGGGGCAATGGAGAGCTGTTGTAGAATATGTAAATTTTCTTATATATTCCATGAAAATATGTTTTAAAATGTTTATTTTAAGAAAATTTAGCAAAATATTAATATATAATTTTAATTTTAAGTAAGTTTTAATCGTGCATTAAAAATTATACGGTGTAAAAAGCAAAATGGTATTTTAAAAAACACGTAAAATATGCGGAATTATATGAAAATTATTTAGATCTTGTTAAGATATTTTGCAAATTTACATAATAAACCTCACATTAATTAAACTTTTTCAAAGATAATGCAAGAAATTCTATTTTTAGAAGAGCTACGATCTTCTCTAACATGGGTAAGCACTCACTTTATCGTGTTTTGGTTTTTATAAAACTTTAACTATATTTAAATTTGTTATAAACTCGAGGAAGTCAATAAAATCATGGAAGAAATTATATTAAAAATTATAAAAATAAAGGTAAAAAAATTCAAAGAACTCGACAAAGTCGGAATTTAACTTACTAAACTTCGATGACAGCATCATCTTTAGCATTATTCTTAATGATACTTCAAGGATAAGTAGTAAAATAATAATTTTTTAAAGTTAAAAATATAATTTTTCAGATCATTTTTATTAATTTTAACTGAAAAAAAGAAAATATGGATTGTGTATTGTATAGATCTTTATGTTTTCTATCAAAGAGATAGCTACTCTAATTGATAAAAAATGATGTTTTTTTTTCTTCAATATGTTGACTTTTTTCCCTCTAATTGTCTCTTTAATAGGTCCAGAAATGTCACGTTATTATTGTTGACAAAGCTTTTTTAGCTAAACTTCTTTACTTTTCTTTTTTTTTATTGAATTTTACTTCATAGAAAAGTCGTCAGTCTTCGTAAAAATATAAAATTAACAGCTTAGATATTTACACAAAATTTTAAAAAATAATAAGAAGAAGAAGAAGAAGAGGAGGAGGAGAAAGAGGGGAAGAAGGAGAAAAAGGAGGAGGAAGAGGAGAAGAAGGAGGAGGAGGAAGAGGAGGAGCAAGGAGAACAATAGGAGGAGGCGAAAGAAGAGGAGCAGGGGAAACAACAAGAGAAAGAGGAAGAAGAAGCAGGAAAAGCAGGAAAAGCAGGAGGAGCAGGGGGAACACACAGGAGGAAGAAAAACAGGAGAAGCAGAAGGAGTAACAGAAGGAAGAGGAGAGGAGAAAGAAATTTATTTATTTTTTATTTTTAAGGATAATTTTAATCAATTCTGCTTAATAATAATAATCAATAATCGTTTTTAGATAGCCATTTAACAATGAATTTTAATTAAATTAGGTTAAGATAGCTATCTAATTAGCTAACATATGTTAAAAGTGTTTTGTGTTGGCATAAGTTGAGTAGCGTGAGAAGGATGCTATTTTTGAGGATAATATTAAAATATTGTAAGGATATATCTAGTAATTACAGGTTAGAGAAAAGTTAGAANGTTTATATGTTTATAAGGAAGCAATTTTAATATGAGAAGCTTCCTTATGTAGCTTAATTTACTTAAATTGTAATTTAAATATAAATTTTTAAGTAAATAGGTTCAAATTCTCTATAGGAAGCCATTAACTAATGGTTTATGTAGGGTAAATTTACATACTTGTTTACACATTTATAAGGAAGTAACCTTAATATGAGAGAAGCAATGAGCTTCCTGTAATGCTAGGTTTGTGTATTATAAATTTGCAAGCCTATTTATATGTTTATAAGGAAGTAAGGATGCGTAAGGAAGCTTCCTGAAGACGATTAATTTACATAAATTGTAATTAAATTATAAATTTTTAAGTGAATAAGGTGAAATTCTATATAGGAAAGACTTAAATAATTCAATTTTTGGTAGGTTTATATAAGATAAATTTACACCCGATTATATGCNCTTATTTAAGTTATAACATTAAAAATAAAAAATGTTTTAATCCATTAAAATGTTATAGGAAGCAATCATTTACATAGTTAAATGTTTTTAATACATAAATTTCACTTAAATAAATTTTTATCTGAGGCATACATCCATTTTCTCTTCTTATTTTAGCATTTTCTACTTGCAAATGCGAAAACTGATGTCGAATATGAGAGGCTAAAACATTTCAGAATGATTCAAACGATTACAGATGCATCTCTTTAGCATATTATCCAGTTTTTCCCTTCTTTAACATCCTTAGAAAGGGGGAAGGAATTTTATATATACGTACACACAAATATATATTATTTTACATAAAAAATGAGCTTCTTATGCATCTTACCTATGCTTTAAATCATCTAAAATTAAGGTTTTATGACGTAAATTTTGAAAATATAATATATCATTCTTGTTATTCTATGCTCATAAATTTAAANTTAATCTTTATAAATATTTTTTAAATTCATTTCCTTCTCTGGGCACTAAAAGGGTCTTTTACAAACCCACACCTAAATGAGGAGTCAAACCGCCCCTAAAAATGTTCCCAACTACTGGGATTCGAATTCGGATCCCCAACGCAGTAGTCAGATGCCTTAACACCTCGACCATCTCTGTCACGTATTTTACGAGACAATGCATGGTTTATAACAATTAAATCTAAAAAAATAATAAATTTTATTTGCATCTTTTAGTTTTTTAACTTACCAAACATGTACTTAGTGATGAATTTTACACGATTTTTCCATTGATACGCTTCCATTTCCGGAGGATAAATAAAAAAAAACTTTATTCACATCAGCTGCAAGTATACAAAAAATAAATAAATAAAAATAAGTAAAATAAAATGCTCATGACCAAGCTCATAATTCATACACTAAATTATTTAAAATAAAATTGACCACGTACAGTTTCAATAGCAGATGTCTCGACTTATCACAGAATGACGTCAGAGAACAAAAATGTTCATCCGNGATGCGTAAGGAAGCTTCCTGAAGACGATTAATTTACATAAATTGTAATTAAATTATAAATTTTTAAGTGAATAAGGTGAAATTCTATATAGGAAAGACTTAAATAATTCAATTTTTGGTAGGTTTATATAAGATAAATTTACACCCGATTATATGCATAAATAAGGAAAAAACTAGACGATATATTACCTACGTATCCATTCTGTTAGATAACTTTTTCCATGGTTTTAGTATTGGTTATGTTACACTCCCAACAGCAATTGAAGTTGATCCGACGTCAATTACTGTATACACCGTCCGTGACCAGAGATAAGATTTATATACAACGCCTAATCTTATACATTTTTTGTAAAGTAAAATAAAAACTTTTACGTTATAAGCTGTTTAAAATCCTCCAGAACTTAATTTAAAAGGATAAAAATCAATTCTTTACATAATTAGAACGTATATTTGTATAAAAACACAATTTTTGGTCCGGTTTGCTGTAAATTCCTAGTTTATAATGCTGTTTTCTTCATGTAAAATGAAAATTTTTAACCTTATAAACTGTTTAAAACGCAAAAAACTTAATTTTTTATAAAATAAAAAATTCTTAAATAATTTCATTAGTTTTTTATTTATTTTTTAAGCTTTAAAAACAAAGTAATTTTGTCTGATCCTAACTTTACACAAGTTTTTTTTTATATACATAATTCAAACATTTTAACTTTATATACTATTTAAAACACTTCAAAACTTAATTAAAAATAATACAAATATAATTTTTTGCTGTTAAATCATATAATTTACATTTAAAAAAATGCAATTTTTTGCAGTCAAACCATACAATTCACGTTAAAAAAAGGAATTTTTAAACCACTTCAAAAGCATTTTTTAAATATTTTAAGCTCCAAAAACAAAGTAAATTTACTTTAAACACTTTCTTAAATATTTTTTTATCATATTAAATCGATAAAAAATTTATTTTGAGTTTTTTAAGGTATAAATTCCCTTTTGATTACTGTTAAATTAACTAAAAACTAATAATAATTACAGTTATAATTCCATATTTAATCTCCTCAAATTTTTAAGTTCGTGAAGAACAGATTAATAAATCGTTTGTAACAAGTTGAAAGATATTTTTCCATCCTCCTTTTTCTTCTACTTTCACTTTTTCCCTTGCATAAATTCGCTTTTGAAGGTTTAAATGATCAGAGTATGGATTTTCGATAAATTCTCCCTCTTCTTCTATTAACAAGAACTTTTTTTATTTTATTTTTATTATTATTTTTATCTGCAACAAATCTCTTGCCTCTGCTAAAGGATTTTAACTGCAAAAAAAGACCATCTATACCCTG